AGTTGAGAAACAGGGAAAAAGTTATGCTTCCCTAGATCCAGACAGGGAACATTTCAAGAAAAAAAAAATGTCCAAAGCTGCTAGAGAGGAGAAAACAAGAAGTGTTCATGATGGAATCAGAGAAAATTTCAGATTGATAAGATCATGGTTTTTCACCTCTGAGCCTGAGGGATCCCATGTTAACTGCCAATATAAGTTAACAAAAGCCTGTTAGATGTTTGATAGATGCTCATGCAGATTTGTCAGAAGTTACCCAGCCAATGGCCCCACTTGCCAACTGGAAAGTACTCAGTGTTGTCCATAAGTGCTACAATTCATGTGCCTCCAATAATAATAGTTGGTGAGACATAAAAGGCTAGTTTGAGACAATACCCAGTGGCCATGGAAAATAAAAAAGGGATTAAACCACACATTTAAGAGATCTCTGCCAATAGACCTACAAAAATTTCTGACTAGTCCTTTTATAATTTAAAAGGTTATTACAATCCAGATACTTCTGCTAATGTCTCAATAGTTGTTCAAAAGATATCAAAACAATGGTATGTGAGATGCTGATGTCCCCCCGACCCTATCTTAATCATCTTTGTGGAAAGTCATTACTGTCCTCTTGGTGAAAACCTTTTTTTTTTTTTTTCAGAACTGGGGATTGAACTCAGGCCCTTGCGCTTGCCAGGGAAGCGCTTATTCTGCTGAGCCATCTCCCCGGCCCCATGAAAACCACTTTTTACTATATTCATAATTACCCTGTTGATATTATTTGGCCCATGCATGTTTAATAGTTTCTTTGGCTTGGTCTCTCCCAAATTTAAAGTTATTCCACCTACACAAGATAAAAATGCCTGATCTCTATTGAGGGCCTTTAGGTAGAATCTCTGAAGAGTATCTGTGACTGCCAGTTCACAACCATGACCCCTTTCAGCCTGAAGAAGCCAGAGCGGTCATTGCTCATAATTCCCTCATGGCAGTTAGGGTTACTTCTTCAGAGGGAGGACATGTTGCAGGCAGCTGAGTTAGATAGAAATATTATAGGCAGTCTGATGGGGCTAGGCCCTCAAGGAGACAGCATGGAAGACAAGATACATTGCAACTGTAAGAGGGATGGATGCTGCTGCTGTGGGCCAGAACTAAAGACCAAAGATCAAACAAATGCTTACCTCCCTAAAGATTAGCATCTGGGATTGGTCATCACCCTGAGGAAACCTGGAAGAATCGTTCATCCAACTACTACTGCCTAACTACTGGACAAAGTCCTGTTCTATATTCGTGCCCGCTTGCTATGCGACTCGCTTCCCCATTTGGTCCTGGACTTAATTTTACCTGAGCAATGGTGCCTGTAATCTCATTAGTTGACCATAGTTTTGTCCCACTTCATGCCCACCTAAACAAGTTTCCATGTTCTCCACTTTAGACCCACATGGATAGACTCTATAGTCCCAGGGAAAGATAGCTTCCTGGGGACCACCCACTCGGGGCCCCCCTCCTGTCCCTCTCTTGGACGGGAGCTTTCTTTCCCCAAATACATATATTCTGTTCATAACCTCCATTTGTTCCTAAAATTCATTCTTCAGTTTTAGAGAACACAAACTTGTTCCAGGCACCTTTCAGGTCAGGAGATCATTTTTCCCCTGTATCATTTGGAGGTCCCTGTATCAATATGACATAATTCCAGAACTCTAGAGGGTAAGGCAGGAGGACTGCAAGCTCAAGACTAGCCTGGACAATTTAGTGATACTTCCTCAAAATCAGAAATTAAAGAAAAAAATCTTAAGATGTAGCTCAATGTAAAAGCTCTGGGCTCTATCCCCAGTACTGAAATGAAAATTTAAACTTTAATATATCAAAGGACACCATCATAAATGAAAGACAACACGCAAATGGGCAAAAGTATTTTCAAATTGTGTATCTGTTAAGCAATAAATAGCCAAAATATTTAGATAATATTTTCAGGTCAACAATAAAAAACAAAACAAAATCCAATTTAAAAATGGGCAGAGATATAGGTGTGGGGTTACACATGTAATCCTACTGCTGTGGTTGTGGTAGGAACAGTTTTAAGCCTAGCTTGTTTTAAAATGAAAAATTCAGTAAAAAGAAAAAGGACTATGGATGTAGCTCAGTATAAAGGCCCTAGGTTTTATTTTCTTTTATTTTCAGGTAAGGATGAGGCCCTAGGTTTAATCCTCAATGGACAAAGTTTTCAAATAGAAATTTTTCTGAAAATATTAAAAATGGTCAAGAAAAAACTAAAAACATGGTCAATATCATTTTCCGTTCATTTGAAATGCAAATAAAGCTTTTGGCTAGGAAGAGGCTAAGGTGCAAGTTTCTTAGGTTCATCCAACACCAGCTGTCTCCATCATGCCACCCAAGGTTGACCCCAATGAGATCAAAGTCATGTACCTAAGGTACACGGGTGGCAATATCTGCCCTAGCCCCCAAGATCAGTCCCTTGATCTGTCTCCAAAAAAAAAAAAAAAAAAAAAAAAAGACAACCTGCTTGGGCTCCCCTCCTGTCCCTCTCTCAGACAGGAGCTTTCTTTCCCTCAATAAATATATTCTGCTCATTAAAAAAAAGGTGATGACATCACCAAGGCAACTGGAAGGGTCTGAGGATCACCGTGAAACTGACCATTCCAAACAGACAGGCTCAGACTGAGCTGGTACCTTCTGCCTCTGCCTGATCATTAAAGCCTCCAAGGAGCCACCAAGAGGTAGAAAGAGGTAGGAAAGCATTAAACACAGTGGAAATACCACTTTTGATGAGACTGTCCACACTGCCCCATAGGTGCGGAACTGGTCATTAGCAGTTCTGGTGCGCACCAGAAAACTTTTCAGAATCATTAAAGAGATCCTGAGCCGGAGATAGCTCAGTGGCATAAACACCTGACTGGCATGCACAAAGTCCTGAGTTTGATCCCCAGTACCGCAAAATAAATATCTAGACAGACAGATTGATCAATCCTGGAGACTGCCCAATCTGTGGGCTGCAATGTGTACATCCAGTATCTTCATGACATCAGCAGTAGTGCTGTGGAATGCCCAGCTAGCTAAGAAACATAAGAAAATACTGTAACAAAAAGATGATCTGGGGCTGGAGAGAAACTCAGCGGTCAAAGTACCTGCCTGGCAAGTGCCAAGAGTCCAATTTCAATCCCTGGTACTGCATGCCATGCTGACCCTTGAACCCTGAGTGTGCTGTGCCAGAACCAAAACTGGCATAGTGGTGCACATCTGTAATCCCAGCACAGGGGAGGCTGAGACAGGGGGATCACTATGAGTCTGAACTTCATAGCAAGACCCTATAACAAATAATTATTTTTTTAAAAAGAAACACGAATAAAAACCACAATATTGGCTACCCAGATAGCTCGGCAGATTAAAGCACCTGCTTAGGCAGGCACCGTGACTGGATTCCTTCCCTGGCTTGCTGTGCCAGCCCTGCCCCCAGGGTGAGCTGAGACAGGGACTGAGACTAGGCATGGTGGTGCGCACCTGAAATCCCAGCGCTTGAGAGGCTGAAAACATGAAGATCACTGAGTCCAATTGGTGTAGTGAGACCCTATACTAAATACATTAAAAAAAAAAAAAAACAAAAAAACACTTCACACCTATTAGGATACCTAGTATATAAAAAAGACAGTAACATGTTGGGAGAAGATATAGAAAAATTGGAACTGGTATATATTGCTGGTGGGGATTTATAGTGCAGTTGCTATGGAAAAGTTGGGCCACTCAGAAAGTTAAATAATTACTATATGATTCAATTTCATTATTTAACTAAAAGTGCTTAAAGATAGAACTCAAACATGTATTTATACACTAACATTCATACCAAGATTATTCACAATAGTCTTAAAGGTGTAAACACCAGAGCATCCAGCAACAAATGGTATAAAATATACAACATGGTAATATTCAGTGGAATATTATTTATCTGTGAAGAGAAGTGGAATTCTGATACATGCTGCAACATGGGCAAACCTTGAAAACAGTTCATTAGCTGGGCACAGTGGTGTACACCTGTAATCCTAGCACTTGGGAGGCTGAGGCAGGTGGATCATTGAGAGTTCGAGGATAGCCTGAGCTACAGTCAGTTTAAGGCAAGCCTGAACTGCATAGTGACACTATCTCAAAAGTACAAAAAAAAAAAAAAAAAAAAAAAAAAAAAAAAAAAGAACTACTAAATGAACTAAGCTAGACATAAAAGGTCATATATGATTCCAAACAAGCAAATTCACAGAAAATGGAATTAAGATTACCAGCATCTGGGATAAAGGGGAATGGAAGTAAGTTGTTTCTGTTTGAGATAATAGTTCTAGAAAAAAAGAGTAGTGATGGTTATAGGACACTGAATGTGTTTAATGTCACCAAGCTGTATACTTTAAAATGTGTAAAGTGGTTAATTTTGTTATGTATATTTTACCACAGTAAAAAAAAAAAAAAAAAGGCAGTATCAACTCTGGTAAGCGACATGGAAAAGTACAAATGACACGTTCATTTTATTTACAATATGCAGGCCGGGGAGATGGCTCAGTGGAGTGCTTCCCTGGCAAGTGCAAGGGCCTGAGTTCAATTCCTGGTTCAGCCAAAAAAAAAAAAAAAATATTTACAATATGCAAAAATACAGCCACATGTGGAGTTCTCTACAGTGTGAAATCTTGGCACTGAAAAAAATAGCAAAGAAGGTACTAGATGTTGCAATGATATGTATAAAAGTATTTTCTTCTCTTTTTGGGGGAGACAAAGTCTTACTATGTCACTCTGGCTGGTCTTGAACTCCTGAACTCAAGCAGATGTTCTGCCTTAGCCTCCCAAGTACAGGGACTACAGGTAACATCATACCTGGCATGTTTTCTTAAAATGCTCTCGTGTTTCTGAAAGAAAACATTCTAAATCAGCAACATGAATTCTCTTTCCTAAGTGGGAGTGACTACAGGAGTCACTTTTTTGTGTAGTCTTCTGTTTTTTTTTTTTTAAAAAGAATATGCATTCCCTTTGGTTTAAGAAAAGTGGTTTAATTAGATATAAATACCATTTCACCCTGTAAATACAGTGTGAACAGTCAGTAAGATCTGAGAACATGCACACCAGGAGTCTGCCCTCACAGATGTTCTTCCACTGTCATGGGGAAAGGCCTTTCCGGAGGTGGATCCTCTGGTGCTGACACATGTTGGAACTGTGCCGGAAGGCCTTCCCACATTCACTGCACTTGTAGGGCTTTTCTCCTGTATGGATCCTCCGGTGCTGAGCCAGGTAAGTGCTTTGGCTGAAAGCTTTCTTGCAGTCACTACATTTGTAGGGCTTCTCTCCATGGTGTGAGCGCTGATGGTGAATGAGCCTAGAGCTATTGTGGAAAGCCTTGCCACACTCACTGCATTTGTAGGGCTTCTCCCCTGTGTGGATCCGCTGGTGCTGGATGAGGTGTGTGCTTTGGCTGAAGACTTTGCCACAGTTGTGACACTCATAAGGCTTCTCTCCAGTATGGCTTCTCTGATGTTCAACAAGTTTGGTTTTCTGGATGAAGGCTTTCTCACATTCATTACATTTGTATGGTTTTTCTCCAGTGTGAATTCTCTGATGTTGGATAAGGTTGGAACTCTGGGTAAAGCCTTTGCCACATTCTTTACACTCAAAAGGCTTCTCTCCGGTATGAGTCCGTCGATGTCGAATAAGGATAGAACCATCACTGAAGGCTTTTCCACAGTCATTACATTTGTAGGGTTTCTCTCCAGTGTGTATTCTCTGGTGATACACAAGAGAAGAATAGGCACTGAAGTGTTTACCACACTCAGCACATTTATAGGGCTTCTCTCCAGTGTGAATCCTCTGATGCTTCATGAGGTTGGGCCTCTGATTAAATGTCTTCCCACACTCCCCACACCGGTAAGGAATCTCACCAGAATGTATCCTTCGGTGGTTGATGAACTCACAGCTCTGGCTAAAGGCTTTCCCACATTCACCACATTTGTAGGGCTTCTCTTCACTGTGAAGCCGCTGGTGCTTGATAAGATTAGCACTATACCTGAATGTCTTCCCACAGTGGCCACAATCGTGCAATCTTTTCCCAGTAGAAATTTTCTGATCTTCCCTAACAACTAAGTGTGCCTTGAAAAACTCCCCAGAATTATGAATGGTCTTTAGGTTTTTTGACCTATGCACACGCTTATGGTTGTTAAGATATGATTTCTGCTCAAAACTCTGCTCACATGTATCACATTTGTGAGGCCTCTGATCAGTGAAAGGGCCTATCCCCAACTTGAGCCTTCCCCAAGTGTTCTGGCTGCTCTCCTCATTGGTCAGGGTGCCTGGACAAGGGCCTGTCTGCATTAGCTTATCCAAGCTCTTCTTTGGCTCCTTGACACAGCCATGGTCTTCTTCTGGCCTCTGTTCCTGGTGACCAGTCCCAGTGGGCTTGTGCAGTTCTTGTCCACCAACTATCTCCCTTGAAGCCATCAATGTGTGTTCAGTCCTGGTCCCACAAGCTGAAAAAAACAAGACACCCAAAGGTCACTTGTTCTGACTGTGGAAGATATAAAGATGCTGATGAACCCAGGGGACACCAGATCAGTCACTTCCAAAGTTATAACAGCACCACAGAAATGCAGTTCAGAGGCTTAAGACCAGGACCAGGGCCATAATCTTGTGGCAGTGTGAGCCCTTATCCTGAAAGAGATTTAGGACATCTGTCCCTAAACAGACAAAGCCTTCACAGCACCATGGAAACAAGAGTGAGGGACAGTCATAGATAAAAGCCAATAGAGACACTAATGCCGGGTGAGTTTAAGGCCACCTAAAAAAATCAATAGCAGGAAAATCATCTGCCTCCCTGGGAGGGCAGAGCACCAAGCTTGTGTCATCCCACAGAAGGAAGGCATAGCACATGTAGGCCAGGCCCCTTGGCTCTTCTTAGTGTTGCACATCCATTCCTAAGGCTTTTCCTGGAGGACTGGGGCTACCTTAAGACACCTATATGAAAGGCTCTCTGGTGCCTTCAAACCTTTATCCCTTCCTTCCTCCTTTCCCAATACCTCTGAGCTCCCCCAATACTCTGTAGCTACTCCCCAAAAGTGGATATGGAGAAGTACCCAGGCAGGGTCCTGCTGTAAGACCCCTCAGAGACTGTAGCCATACTCAGAATTGACCAGCTCTGGCTGCCACTTCTTAGGTGGAAGATCTGAGGCAACTTATCTTTCTGAGTTGGTTCCCCACATAAAAAGCAGACTATGCCAAGGCTATCATACAGCACTCTCACAAGAATTAATATGGAGTTAATAGACTGACCATCTAACATTCAGCTCAATAGTCAACAGCAGGTCTCAAATGCAAATGGCTTGGGATGGTCACTGTCATCCTTCTCAGTTCTTAAGAGGATTCTTTCCACACTTGCCTAGCCTCCCCACTACATAACCCTAACAGCTCACATGTGTCATAAGACTGAAAATAGTGGCATCCCTCACTGCTGCAGGGATGCACACACGCTGCTACTTTGAAAGGCAGTTTGGCAGCCTTGTCTAAGGCTGATCTGTGCAGATCCTATAATCTGGAAACTCTACTTCCAGGAGAACATTCACGAGAAACACAGTCCTTATGTGCCTGACAGAGATGTGCACAAGACCACAGAACTGGGGACAACCAAATGCTCTCTTCAAGTAAAAGGGAAAATACATTTTAACACAGTCATATGATAGAAAACTGGCAATAGAACAGATCCAACTGCTGCTGTGTGAAACACGAGTACCTCTCACAAGGCTCAACAGAAAATCTTCAGCATGAATCTAGACAAAACAGAAATAAGAAAGCAGCCTCTTGTGACCTATATAGAGAGCAATGAAAAATGACATCGATTTTTTTTTTTTTTTTTGGCTGGTTCAGGCTGCCTTAAGGGCAGGTCTGGTGAGGCATGGGGAGCTGGGGATCGAACCAGGGTTCCCTGAGCCTGACTGGGTTTGCCCCAGCAGGCACTTAAGCAACTGAGCTAACCTGTAAGCTCAATGCTTAATTTTTTCTTATTATACTTATTCTATTTTTTTATTTTCTTATAACTTTTTTGGTATGTTTTGTTTTAAACCAATTTTGAAGTTGTATCTAGTAACCTAAACAACTAATTTGAAGATAACGATGCAATACAGCAACCATTGTTAAATTCCTATTATTTTGTTTATTGAAATTTTGTATCGTTTCTGTTACTGTTTTTCTTATTGCTATTTTGTATTCTTTAAAAAAGAAAATACATTAAAAAACATAAAATAAAAAGACAGGCCCAAGGCCTCCTAGAACCTAGACACAGTCTATATTTTGACCTGGAAAAGTTATAAAAATTCATTGTGGATTTATCTTATTTTTATAAGTGTGTTCAAACAAATAAATTTGGCTATTGTGGCTTCTCTTCACGATAATCCACCCTGCTTTCTCCAGGGTGTTCTTTTATCTTGCTTTTTCCTTTTTACTCAGCCCAATCTTGCTCTGAAGAGCCAGTTTCTCCTTCACTCTTCACCTCTGCACTTTTACTTTCTCAAATAACTTCTAACACTGTTTTTCTTTTTCTTAAAGGAAAAAAGAAATATTTACAAGTAGAATACAAATCCTTTGAGCTAGCAGCTCCTTCTTGGGACAACAACAGACACATGCAAAAGCATGATCATTACAGCTATCATGGCAGCAAAAGAAGATGGGACCTCCCGGTGGCACTTCTCCAGAAAGCATGACCAATGCTCACGTGCACAGAAGTGGATACATTCAGTGGCATACCAGATCACACAGGTCTTTGCTATTAAGAAGCAGTCCTTGGAGCTGAGATATAACTCAGTGGTAGAGCACTGCCTAGCATACACATATGCAAATGTACACATACACATGAAATGGTACTCATGCTCAGGTGTGGAAAAGTCATCATCAAAAGGGAAGAAGAAATATTCTTTTTTTTTTTTTTTTTTTTGCGGAACTGGGGATTGAACTCAGGTCTTTGCACTTGCCAGGGAAGCGCTTACTCCACTGCCACTGAGCCATCTCCCCGGCCCCATTTTTTTTTTTTTAATTTATTTTATTTATTTATTTGTGTGTGTGTGTGGCCAGCTCAGCCCACCAGGGGGCAGGGGCTAGCTGGCATTTGGTGCTGCGGTCCCTGTGCTTTGCTAAGCTTGTTCTAAGTAGGTGCTTTAGACCACTGAGCCATCTCACCAGCCCTTTTTTTTTTTTTTTTGAGAAGTCTTTTTATGTAGTCCAAGCTAGCCTTGAATTCACAGTGATCCACTTAACTCAGCCTCCCAAGTGCTGGGATACTCCCAAGATATCCACCACCACACCTGGCAGGGAGTATTCTAGAATACAACTATGTCTGGACAGTACAATTCACCATGATCCATCTTCTCAGATTTTCTTATAATAACCTATAGCTGTCAAGTGAGCGCATTGAAATGAAGGTAGAAAACAGGGGAATGGAGTGATGGTCTCCATCACACACCCTAGCCAGACCCTCCTTGGAGGACAGCCCTGAGAACAGGATTCTTCAAGGTTTCCCAGGCCCAAGGACCCCCACATCATTTCTGGCCTACATTCATGCACTACACCTTAGACTAGCACTACCTGGGATGCCCTTCACTGTGCCCTGCAACAGTGCCTCCACAGCCTTCCTAGAACTACTGCTCAAGAATCTCCTGCCAAGGCATCAAGGCTGACCAAGTTAACCTTGACACTAGCAGAGGTCACGCTCCAGGCTGGCCCATCTAATCCTGATGCAAATTCCCTCAAATTCTTGAACCTTTAACTAGACTCCATGACCCCAACAAATGTTCATTTAGTGACTGAACTGGGGGAGCAGCTTCCCTCACGCACCTGAGCTGCTGACTCTCAGAGGCCTTCTCCCCTCAGCTTCCTCCGTGTTCAGGACCCATGGCTCATCCCCTCGCTCCAGCTGCAAGATCACCGCAGGCTTAGGACCTGCAGATCCCACTCCTGGGAAGGAGATAGAGCCTGGGGTTGGTGCCAAGGATACAAAGCTGTGTTGTGTGCCACCCTGCACTGAGGATACAAGGGCAGGATGCACAGGCAAAGGGTTTGAAAGCCCAGATACTCTCTGGAGGGGCTTGGCGTAAGCTGAAGGTTGTCACGAGGATGGAATTTTGAGACCAAGAACAGAGCTCAGGAATGCTATATACCAGAAGCCAAGCTCCTCAAGGGTCTGTCTCAGCCAGAGACAAGAGGTCAAAGAAAAGGTGGGCTTATGTAGGAGGGTCCCTGCACCACCCACCCTCTTCTAAGACTGGGTCTGCCAGAGTGCATTGCCATCTGTGGGTCCAAAGTGTGAGGATACAATCCAACTACCACTGAGCCCAAAACCCCAGGGTACTCCCATAATACAGGTTGCTCAGGAGCCTTACCAAGAAAGACCAGGTTTCTGTAGGTCTCTAGCATCACATCCCTGTAGAGGCCTCTCTGAGCAGGGCCCAGACATCCCCACTCATCCTGGGAAAGCAGCACAGCCACATCCTCAAAGGTCACCTGGGCCTGAGATAATAAGACTCTGCTGCAGCCCCTGGAGTAGCACTGGGTGGTCACCAGGGAGCAAGGGGAACAGAGGCATAGTGAGGGCAACTGCAGGAGAATTCCAGAGTCATCCCTCCTCTGATGTCAGCACCCAAGACCAGAAATCTCACAGTGTCTGCCAAGGACATCACTGGTTAAGACAAACTTCATACTCCAAAGGCAATGCTCACCTGGAATGAGGCAGATGTGAATAAGGCGGTCATCACCTGTGCCCTGGGCTTCCTGAGGGCAGTACACAGGAGCCTGTCACTCAGTTGCTGAGGGGAGAGAAAAGGACACAGGGAAGTTGGGCATGGTGGTACCTGTAATCCCAGCACTCAGCAGACTGAGGAAGCAAGACTATAAATTCCAGCGCAGCTGGGCAACTAAGTGACTTAGTGAGACACGGTCTCAAAGTTTAAAAAAAAGCTTGGGGATGTAGTGTGAGGTGAAGGCTCTGGGTTTAATGCCCAGTAAAACACACACACACACACGCATGCAAGCATGCACGCACGCACATATTTAAGGAAAAGGTCTATGGCAACAATTTTATTTTAGTGTTCAGCTGGTATCTCTTCACTATAGTCAGCATTTCTCTATTTTACAGCAAATAGGTAAAACAGGTACACAGTAACTAATTGGAGATTCTTGTGCTTCTAGAGAATCATCTATTTGAACTTCACTCACTTTGTTTGTTGCAGTCTATATCGTGACACTGTCTTTGCTCTATGCCTTCTATTGTCATTTTAAAGCTTTTGTGTTTTCTAGTCCTTAATGTTCTGCCTTTATTATTTTTAATGTATTTAGGACAGGATCTACAGGGTCTCACTACACAGATCAGACTTGTAGTGATCCTCCTGTTTTCACCCTCCCAAGTGCTGGGATTATAAGCACATGCCACGATACCCAGTCTGTCTCTATCTCTGTCTGTCTGTCTCTCTCTCCTCTTTTTTTTTTTCTTGGTGGAACCAGGGATTGAACTCAGGCCCTATTCTACTGAGCTATCTCCCCGACCCCATGATGACACCCAGTCTCAATCACTGTCTCAGAGCATACCAGGGATGGGGCTGGCATGGCATTATTATTATTATTATTATTATTATTATTATTATTATTATCATCTTAGCTTTTTTTTTTTTTCTGGTGTTGCAGACCAAACCCAGGGCTTCCAGCTTGCTAGACAAACATTCTATCACTGAGCTAAATCCCCAGCTCCTGCTTTTATTATTTACATAGAGTAAATATTGTTCTTATCCCAAATGAGACAATTTAATGAGCCAAGGAGAGGGGCAGGGGACTAAGGGGATGTCGACATAGGCAGTGCAAGTAGAGATGGGCAGGCAGCCCCAGGGAGGAATGGGGTCTACACCTTAAAGTGCCCAGCAGGGATGCGCAGGAGCCCTAGACTGCAGGTAGGACTGCTTAGGGCAGCAACAAGCAGCCTGAGATAAAGAAGGGGGAGCCAGGTTGGTCTTCCATGTGTCCCCTACTCCACCACCCTCCCTTTTTTTTATATCTTTTTTTTTTTTAATTTTATTTATTTGTGTGTGTGTGTGTGTGTGTGTGTGGCCAGCTCAGCCCACCAGGGGGCGGGACTGGCTGGCATGGGGTGCTGGGGGATCGAACCGTGGTCCCTGTGCTTTGCTAAGCTTGTTCTAAGTAGGTGCTTTAGACCACTGAGCCATCTCACCAGCCCCCACCACCCTCCCTTTTGAGACAGGGTCTTATTATGTAGTCCAAAGTCCTTTGATGAAATAGGGAATCTATATTGAAAAGTTGCCAAGATCTATGTACACAGCTTGGTGGACAATCACAAACTGCCCATATGAAGAACCAGCATCAGGGTCAAGAAAAAATCTGCTGCCAGATGTCTCCGGCCCCATGTCAATAACCAGCCCAGCCTGAGAAACAGCAGGCTTCCATCATTTTCACACTCTAAATTACCTGTTCTGTGATGAATTGAAACAAATCACAGTCTCTATCCTTCTGCACCTGACTTCATCCCCTCAGTGTGTTACATGGGGTTAGCTACGTTCATACAAGTGGTAGCAAACCTATGGGATGCATGCTGCAAAAGGCTGTTCGAACTGAAAGCTCTAAAAGAAAATAATAGGGCTGGTGAGATGGCTCAGTGGTCTAAAGCACCTACTTGGAGCAAGCTTAGCAAAGCACAGGGACTGCGGTTCAATCCCCCAGCACCACATGCCAGCCAGCCCCGCACCCTGGTGGGCTGAGCTGGCCACACACACACACAAATAAATAAAAGAATCACCATTTAAAAAAAAATGTTTAAAAGAAAATAATAATAATAATTATACATAAAAGTATCCACCAAAAAGGAACTGGCAAATCTTTCTCTGAAATGAGATCTCTTACATACTTCTTTCAGAAATGAATGGGTCAAACACAGTCTTATACTTTTAACAGAGGATACACACTTTTTCAACATGCGCACTGAATATCTTTAAAATAAAAACAACATGGGGCCGGGGAGATGGCTCAGTGGAATAAGCGCCTGCCTGGCAAGTGCAAGGTCCTGAGTTCAAGCCCCGGTTCTGCAAAAAAAAAAAAAAAAAAAAAAAGAAAGAAAGAAAGAGAAACAACAAAAACCACATACCAGAAAGTTTCAGCAAATCTCGAACAAATACAACTATATCAGCGGGGCCGGGGAGATAGCTCAGTAGAATAAGTGCTTGCCTGGCAAGCACAAGGGCCTGAGTTCAGTCCCCATTCCAAAAAAAAAAAACCAAAACAAAACAAAACAAAAAACTGTATCAGCATTGACTCTTTGAAAATGCTAATTTAAAAAGGGGGGGCACAGAGAGATGGCTCAGTAGCATAAGCGCTTCCCTGGCAAGCTCAAGGGCCTGAGTTCAATTCCCGGTTCCGAAAAAAAAATACTAATAAAACACACAAACATAGGGCATGCCCAATCTAAGAAAGAAAAAGAGATGGAAAAGTAAAAGTAAATCCGGAACAACAACAAAAGCAAGACATAAAATCAGACACCGTATAACAGTAATTCTCAGAGTGTGACCCAGGGACCTGCATGCCATGCCTTCCACTATGTTCATATTAACACTGAAATGACGCAGCAGAAGCACCAGGGGACAGTGAGCACCAAGACAGGGGCACTCACTGTGTGTGATGCTACTCAGTATCTGAGGCAGTGCAGTAAGTCTTAGAAAAAGAAAATATAAGCTAAAGGATT